TGCAATTTTTTTTAAGTCCTTGGTAATGGGTAATGGTTAAAAATGGATATAGAAATTGTAGAATGATGCATCAGACTTTAACAAAGTACAGAAAGATTAATAATGACTGACCAGTGACATAAAGTTGCAGCATTTTCGAGCGATGAACATCAGCTGACAGGTTTTCCATCAAGATTTGAGTTTGTTTTTTGAGGTTTCACTGGGATTTTGCAAAGTAAAAATACAGCTCGCAATTGTCGGAAGAAGGGAAAGATGTGGGATGCAATGGGGTTAGCGTAGTGGTTGATTTGCGTCCAATATGGCTATAGCAGTTTTCTCTTTTCTTTTCATCGGTTTTTGGGTATTTTTCCACATAAATCGAACACCTTCGGTAACAATTTCTTAAAGCAGCAAGAAAGCATAAATTTGGTTCCAACATTTTATTGCTCAAGATGAGTATGTTACATTATCTCCGTTTCATGTCGTGTTTACTTTTCTTAATATTGATGCTGTTGTTGAAATATTGGTGTATAAATATATTTCTATAGTGCATACAAATACGATATAATTGCGATTTATTGGTGTAAAATACCTTATAGTCCTAGAGTTTTGACTTATTGATTGGTGTAAAATACCTTATAGTCATAGAGTTTTGACTTATTGAAATTAAGATACGCGCATGAAAAATGTACAAATTGTAAATTATTGAAATGTAAAAATAGAAATTAGAAGGAGGTTAAATGAAACTAGGTATACGATTGTAAATCTTTTTACTAATAGAATTAAATGAACGTCTGTCTTCAAAGATACAATGCTTCAATTTTGTTGGACATACCAAAAGCAGAAGATATTAAACAACAAAATCGAAATAATTTGAAAATTATTTTGACGGAATTTAAAGGAAGAAGAAATTAGAAATCAATTATTTGGAATTAATTATAAGTGTTGAAAATGAAATTATGAGGTCTAATTTATAGATTTTAATGTGTCTTTTCCTAGTTATCACATCTTTTGGCATAATATCATTTTAATATTTCAAATTAGGACATGATTTTACAATATAAATTACACCCTATACAAAGGTTCATAAATATTCATTATGCAACTATTTGAATAGTCACACTTCCACTATTTGAATAGTCACACTTCATTCGAAAAATTACAACTCTTCAATATCCACCATTTGTATTTGAAAAGTCGCATCTAGTTATTACACCCAATGGAGACATGTTCCATTCACACATTTTACCTAAATCGCTTCCCATGCAAAGGTTCATGACCATTCATTATGCAACCGTTTGAATACTCATACCCAATCAGAATTCAATATCCATAATTTGCATTCAAAAAGTCACATCTAGTCACCTCACACATTGGAGACTTTTCCAAATTTTAATAGTTGACTAACTCGTAAATTTCAACAATTCTCCACATGAATGGAAGAAGTCGACTTAAAATAAGGAAGACGAAGAAGAGTACCATCTGATGGTTGGATTGTTTCTATGAAGGTATTAGACGATAAGTTGAGAAGGTGAAGTGGTTTAAGATCACCTATTGAAGCTGGTATCTTCCTTTTAAACTTACTGCTTGACATATCAATCGATGTGAAGACTCAAAATTCTGTTCATCTCCATCTGTATCCCTTTACTTGTAGTCAATGTCAGGCAGAAAAGTCATCTTCATTTATTAGAAAGAGTGAAGAGAGAAGCTTGGTAAAGATAATTTCCAATATCAAACAGTATAAGTTGTTGAAATTCTTGCTTGAATAGTCATCATATATAGGGAAAAGAGGTTGAATTGAAATCAAATTAAAGTGTAGTTATATGATTGAAATCAGAGTTACCCAATTAAAAATAAATCGAAGTGCAGCTACCGGATTGACCCTGAAGCAGAGACGGATTTTTCATTTTTTTCTTTTTAAAAACCAGTTTTTTATGTGTAAAATTTTTTTTTTTCCCACGTAGCACCGCAATTTGAAATTTTGTAGCCTAGTCTTGGATTCAATTCTAGATCCGTCCGTGCCCTGAAGTAAATGTAATTTAACCAAAATAGTTGCAATGGTGGGAGTATTAGTATTCTGCATGCAATTTGTTCCATACAAAAAGCAAGCTGAACTAAATCAGAATCCCGTAATCAATTTACTATTTGCTTAAAAACTGCAATTTTTACCTAATATTCTGCAAGGAGATTTATTCTATGCATATCAAAGCTGAGAATAATCATGATCCTGAAAATAAGTTATTTATACTTTAAAAAAGCAGAATTTTGCATCAAATCTACTGTTATGCTACCATAAGATGAGAAATAATTTCATCTATGTAGCTGTCAGAACTTCCTCCTTCATCTATAGCCTCCTTAGCCAGCACTTTCCAACGAATGGCATTCTTTCTAATCTCTTGTCCTCTTTCTCCTTCCATAATTTCATTGATGCATCTCTTTATTTCGTCTCTTCGTGTAACACCCTTCTCGTCCGACTTAGGCATCGTTCCGACCTGCCAAACATACTCGACAAAATGTGCATTTGTCATCTGGTCAAGAATCTGAGGCATTGCTACCATAGGCACCCCAAGGCTTATTGCCTCCATAGTCGAATTCCAACCGCAGTGTGATATGAAACATCCAACTGCATGATGTGCCAGAACTTCCAACTGAGGGCACCATTTCACTATCAATCCTTTACCTGAGTTTTCATCGTGAAAATTAGTTGGAAGTTTACTTTCTTCACTTGGCTGGACTACCCACAAGAAGCTGTTGTTACTCTGCTTAAGGGCAGCGGCTAATTCTACTGTTTGCTCTGTATTCAAATTTGCATTGCTCCCAAACGAGACGTAGACGACTGATCCGGTTTCCTTAGAGTCAAGCCATTTCATGCAGGCGTCCGTGTTCGGCTTATGTATGTTGAAACCATAGTCATCGTCGTCTTCCACCCGGTTGTCTAGATAAATAGAAGGCAAAGTTGGTCCAATGGTTCTCACAGGCCAGAGTTTTGACATCCAACTGACGACCTACATTCGACAAGGCTTATTCAAGTAAGTTACATGAATGTCTAAAAATATTGACATCGTTAAATTTGCGCATAATCGAGTAAGTTATGCTTACGTCCTCTTCGAGCTTATCGAAGGAGTTGAAAAGAACCCAATCTGCATTTTCACTATTGTCAAATTGTTGTAATAAGTACCGGATTATCGGAGGATATCGTCCGGTATCAGGACCAAGTGAAGGCAGATTCGGAAGTCCAATCTCGGGTAATCCAGGCAGGGAGGAAGCTGGAACTGATGGAGTCACTTCCGATAATTCGCAGTGCATCGGATAGTAACTAGCAATCGCAGCACACGATTGAGTAAAAAAGGCAGCCCGATCAACTCCCATTTGGCTTGCCACGCTCGAAGCCCACGTTATGTTGGCATCGTAGACGAGACATTTCACAGGTCTTTCAGAGTCTCTGATGAGTTGAGTCAAGTTTCTTGTGCCACTGGCTTCAAATCTATCGAGAAATCCTCTAAATCCTCCTGGTCCCGCCACCCCTCCTTCAGCGCAATCGTCATATATCGATTCGAACACGATCGAGCTCGATGCAGATTGGATAGCCTTGGTATTACTCAAAGTGGTTGCTACCGTAACATGGATTCCTTTAGCAGCCAGTCTTTTGGAAAATTGAATCATGGGGTTTATGTGACCTTGTCCATGATATGCAAGAACCACTACATGAACTTTGCCTCTCTCCATCTCTGAATTCAATCTTCTGCCTGAAAATTTTCCTGGAAAGCAATAACTTAGTTCGAAGGATGAAATTTCACGTGATTGAATATAGCTGAAATTTAAGTCAATGTGGGTGTTGGGCACCGAATTTCTTGTTGAATTCGAAATTCTTTTGGCATTCTTTTATATTGTAAATGTAATTGTTCCTTACAATGGTTAATAATCCACCAGAAACAGGACAAAAACCGAATAAACACAATTCTTCTTTTTGTGCGGGTGCAAAATTAGCATCTACAGGGCCGACTCAAGGCATCTGATTAATTTAAGTTTGGCAATTTTTTAATGGAAAATGATTATATTTTTTTTAAGTTTTTTGTTTTAAAGTCTTGCTTACTTGACTCTTATTAAAAATGACACTCATTTGTTTATCTATTTATATTTCCGTGCCAACTCAACTAGTTTGATCCACTGATGGAAAATGCCAACGACCCGGGAGGTGACTTAATTAATTGAAGTTGGGCAATTTTTTAATGGAAAATGATTATGTTTTTGTAAGTTTTTTGTTTGAAAGACAGGTTTACTTTGACTTTCATTTGTTTATCTATTTATATTCCCGCGCCAACTCAACTAGTTTGATCCAATGATGAAAAATGTCAAACAATCCGCGAGGATGGCCTCGAGGGTGATTGTGCCCTCACATGCTCAGCGTGAATTCCCTATGAATAAAATAACCCTGACCCCTATGTGTGTGTATTGTGTCAGCCTCGTAGTCATCCTCGCAAACAATGTAGCACAGCTCTCGAATGATTGAACAAGGTATTTTTGAGATTAGTTCATAGGTCAATGACAGAATTAAAAAGGGGGGACAAGTGTTATTTTTTTATTGAAAAAAAAAAAAAAAAAACAACCAGACAGGTCCCGTCACCAAACTCTGTTTTTGATCCCCGTTTGAATAGCTTTATTCATAAATCAGTAACTTAAGTTATATTATCCCTAACTCTACAAGTGGGAACGAACAGGCCACACTGGGTTTTCGTATTATTTAGCCCTTGTTTGATTTTCATTAAATTACATTACATTACATTCTATTTTTCTCTCTCCTATTTTCAACCACACAATCTTCCATAAAATAATATTACACGTAAATCGAAAAATTTTCTTTCTTTTTCAACCACTCATTTTTCAAAAAACACTATTCTATACATTAAATTTTCCCCGTAATGGGGGCCAAACAGGGGCTTAATCTTGTTCTACTGTGGATGACAAAATTTGTTTTACAAGCAAAAATATCTTCACGAGAAGAAATGCAGGAGATAATAGAGTTAATAACTAATATGAGACGGTAATCCTCCCTTCTAAACCATAATTCATTCTCTTCACAGCTTAGACAAAAATCTTTGCGTTACATCACAGAGGCAATTCTCAAACATTATTTCGACGACAAAATTACAGAAACAAAATTAAGTTTATTACCATAGTCTAATCCTTAATCCTACATAAGATTCGCATGCAAAACGAGAAAAGAGATGAACAGATTCTGTAAAATCCCAATTTAGTGTGCAAGAGTTCGAAGGAAGGACGTGAGAATAATTAGTAGGGAGTGCTCCCGCTTGAAGGTGAGGATATCACGGACAGAATATCAGTCACAGAAGCCATAGCACTCAAAGCAGCTTTTAGAACATCTTGAGAACACCCTGGTTTCACTATCGAACGCACCTGGAAAAAGAAGAAAAAAGGGAACATGACATTATTTAAGTGAATAAAATAGACAATAGCGTTCATTCGCTAATTATCTAGTGCAGAAATTTGAAAATGACCAGTGAAAAGAGACAACCTTATCGAGGTGTTCCTTCAATTGCTTGATACGACCCATGTAATCTTGGTCCTCAACACACAGGGTTACGGGCTTTGAATCAGCCCCAGGACCTTCGAACTGAAGGGGTCCTGGGTTTCTATAGACGTCGTCCATCAAAAATTTGGTTGCATTTTGTCTCAGCAGCCTGTAGCAAACAAGTTGAAAGAATAACTCAATCCATTAGACAAAGGCACTAAATTTCCCAGGAGATTTACCAAAAAAAAAAAAATTGAGGATGTGCCAATAAGATTTCGAAATCCATGTTTCAGAGTTCATTGAGACAAAACAGTAAGAACGGGCGTAAAGAAATGGCTTACCCGTATGACTTGCCCTTCAAATCCACAGCTGCTGGATGCAGAGCCGGTTTTCCCAGTGTTGCAGCCCCATGGCCACGACCATAGCGCTTAACGGTCATCATGCTCTGAAGTAACAAGTACCAAACAGGTTCAACTTCATACTCATTGAAACATCATATTTTAAGAAGAAAAAGGAGTAGAGTGCAGGAGTATGACTTTCGAGCTTATAATCTTCCATGCACATTCTTGCCATAAATAAAAAATATTGAAAAAATAGAGAACCTACTGTTATAGGAGCAGCACCACAACGCCACTTGTTCACAGGGTTCTTCAGGTTAGTTACAGTTGCCATATAACCATTCAAACCTGCAGCAAGTATGTGGTAGCCTATATGACCAAGGACCTGAAACAACATTGTTGCTTTTAGCTATTTGTTTTACTATAAATCCAAATTTAGTTAGAATTTGGAAAGGATAACAAAAGAAAGTGTGATGGAATCTCCATAAAGGATTCTCAACTCCCTTGAAGGCTCTCCTATTCCTCTCTGAAAGAAGCGCTTCCAAACTCCGCTATTAGCCCTAACACTCCCTTTTACCCTCCAATCCCTTGCTTTAGTGTCCTGAAAATCTATAATAACTAAACAAGTCTAAAGCAGAACATACATATGCGTAGTCACAATCAAACTTTGATGGCAATGATCCACGAGCTTGATAACCGAAGAAGTGGCAGATGCCATTGAATTTCTTTCCCTTGTAGGTTCCTTCTTTCTATAAATATAACCAGACATCAGATATATGCTCAAAAAATCAAGATATTAAACAAAAGAGTTCAAAAGACATTTGAACAACCCAAGGGGACATGCACAGTGTCGATTTTTCGTTTTACTATTTTTTTAATTAATTATCTTAATTGATGAAGTACAAAAAATATTATTCAATTTAATTTATTCTTTAAATATTTCTTTAATTAAGTATATTATTTATTTCATATTTAATTACTCTATTTCGATTATTTATTTGAATAATATTTATTCGATTTTTCCTTTTACTATTTCTTTAATTCATTATCTTAGTTCTTTAAGTAAAAAAAAATATTGCTTTTTTTAATTTATTCTTTAAATATTTCGTTAATTATGTATATTATTTATTTCGATTATTTATTTGAATAAAAATAATAATATTTATTCGATTTTTCGTTTCACTATTTCTTTAATTAATTATCTTAATTGGTTAGGTAAAAAATATTATTCAATTTTATTTATTCTTTTAATATTTTGTTAATCACGTGTTTTATTTATTTCATATTTAATTACTCTATTTCGATTATTTATTTGAATAATATTTATTCTATTTTTCCTTTTACTATTTCTTTAATTCGTTATCTTAATTCGTTAAGTAAAAAAAAAATATTGTTTTTTTAATTTATTCTTTAAATATTTCGTTAATTATGTATATTAATTATTTCATATTTAATTACTCTATTTCGATTATTTATTTCAATAAAAATAATAATATTTATTTGATTTTCGTTTCACTATTTCTTTAATTAATTATCTTAATTGGTTAGGAAAAAAATATTATTCAATTTAATTTATTCTTTAAATATTTCGTTAATCATGTGTTTTATTTATTTCATATTTAATTACTCTATTTCGATTATTTATTTGAATAATATTTATTCGATTTTTCCTTTTACTATTTCTTTAATTCATTATCTTAATTCGTTAAGTAAAAAAAAATATTGTTTTTTTAATTTATTTTTTAAATATTTTGTTAATTATGTATATTATTTATTTCATATTTAATTACTCTATTTCGATTATTTATTTGAATAAAAATAATAATATTTATTCGATTTTTCGTTTTACTATTTCTTTAATTAATTATCTTAATTGGTGAAGTACAAAAAATATTATTCAATTTAATTTATTCTTTAAATATTTCGTTAATTATGTATATTATTTATTTCATATTTAATTACTCTATTTCGATTATTTATTTGAATAATATTTATTTGATTTTTCCTTTTACTATTTCTTTAATTCATTATCTTAATTGGTGATGTACAAAAAATATTATTCAATTTAATTTATTCTTTAAATATTTCGTTAATTATGTATATTATTTATTTCATATTTAATTACTCTATTTCGATTATTTATTTGAATAATATTTATTCGATTTTTCCTTTTACTATTTCTTTAATTCATTATCTTAATTGGTGAAGTACAAAAAATATTATTCAATTTAATTTATTCTTTAAATATTTCGTTAATTATGTATATTATTTATTTCGATTATTTATTTGAATAAAAATAATAATATTTATTCGATTTTTCGTTTCACTATTTCTTTAATTAATTATCTTAATTGGTTAGGTAAAAAAAATATTATTCAATTTAATTTATTCTTTTAATATTTCGTTAATCATGTGTTTTATTTATTTCATATTTAATTACTCTATTTCAATTATTTATTTCGATTTTCCCTTTTACTATTTTTTTAATTCATTATCTTAATTCGTTAAGTAAAAAAAATATTGTTTTTTTTAATTTATTCTTTAAATATTTCGTTAATTATGTATATTATTTATTTCATATTTAATTACTCTATTTCGATTATTTATTTGAAACGTATATTTAAGTAAAAAAGAAAAAAAATTAAAACTCAATTTAATTTATCTTTAAATATTTCGTTAATTCTCTTAATATATTATTTATTTTATATTTCATTTTATTTCTTAACACAAAAATAAAACAATAATTCTGAAAAAAAAAATTATTTTTGACCCAAATCCGGGTCCGGTGTGGTCCGGGCCATATGGTCCGGACCAATCCGGACCCAGACCATATGGTCCTGGTCCGGTGGTCCGTAACGGACCATCCGGTTTGGTCCGTGACGGACCAGACCATCCTTTTCCGACAAGTTCCGTCCCTTTTTTTCACTTTTTTTTCAACATTTTAACCTCAAATTCGATATTTTCTTACATTTTAACCATAAAAACACATGAATTTAACCCATATTCATATCCTAAACATTCAAACTTTCACAAATTCAAATTAGTTATTTATAAAAAAACATGTCTAACCTTTAAGAAAATGACGGTCTCCGGCGAATCGAGGTGGCTCTGGTCTTGGTCGAAGTTGGTGAGGTCCGGGCAGTCCGTAGGCGACGTCGAGCGGTCCGCAGCAGATTTTTTCTTTTTTTTTTTATCTTCTCTTCTTTCCTAAATGAGGATATTTTCGACCCTACACATTTTGTTTACATTTTCCCTTTTTTTTTTTTTAACAAATAACTAAGTCAAAGGCTATTATGGAAAACACATCGGGTGGGGCAGCCATTGCCCACCATTTCCTCCCTCTGATGCACGCTACTCCGGGTGCTAAACCCAACCCTCCGCACATACGAGTTGTAAGCAATTCTACCAGCCTGTTCAGAATCAAATTCCATTCCCTCATAGCGCTCGAGATGGAAATCCCCATCATTCCCATTAGAAATTGACAGAGAAGTCTGAGCCCTTTCGGCTAATTCATTGTCATTTTATAATTATCATCATATTGACGTTGTTGTCCTAAAACATAAACAGTCTCTTCTTCTTCTTCCCCAGAACCCATATTGAATTCCATGTCCTCGTTTTCCTAGTCCAATTGTACAAGATCCATGTGGACTAACAATTGACTTCAACATACAGCTTCCTTTCGATTCTACGATGATTTTGCTAAATTTAGACAGTGAATTTGCAAATTTTTCAAAGTCCTTGGTAATGGGTTATGGTTAAAAATGGATATAGAAATTGTAGAACGATGCATCAGACTTTTAACAAGTGCAGAAAGAATGACTGACCAGTGACCTAAAGTTGCAGCATTTTCGAGCAATGAACATCAGCTGACAGGTTTTCCATCAAGATTTGAGTACTATTTTGAGGTTTACCTAGGATTTTGCAAAGGAAAAATACAGCTCGCAATTGTCGGAAGAAGGGAAAGATGTGCAATGGGGTTGGGTTAGGGTCGGGGTTGATTTGCGTCGAATAAGGCTATGGCAGTTTTCTCTTTTCTTTTTATCGGTTTTTGGGTACTTTCCATAAATCGAACACCTTCGGTAACAATTTCTTAAAGCAGCAAGAAAGCATAAATTCGGTTCCGACATTTTATCGCCCAAGATGAGTGTTGTATTATCTCCGTTTCATTTCGTGTTTACTTTTCTTAATATTGATACTGTTTTTGAAATATTGGTGTATAAATATATTTCTATAGTGCCTACAAATACAATATAATTGCGATTTATTGGTGTAAAATACCTTATAGTCATAGAGTTTTGACTCAATGAAATTAAGATACGCGCATGAAAAATGTACAAATTGTAAATTATTGAAATGTAAAAAAAAAAAAGTAGAATGAGATTAAATGAAACTAGGGATGCGATTGTTGATCTTTTTACTAATAGAATTAAATGGACGTCTGTCTTCCACGATACAGCGCTTCAATTTTGTTGGACAAACCAAAAGCGGACGATATTAAACAAGAAACTCAAAATAATTTGAAAATTATTTTCACGGAACTTGAAGGAAGAAGAAATTAGAAATCAATTATTTAGAATTAATTATAGGTGTTGAAAATGAAATTATGAGGTCTAATTTATAGATTTTAACGTGTCTTTTCCTAGTTATCACATCTTTTGGCACAATATCATTTTAATATTTCAAATTAGGACATGATTTGACGATATAAATCACACCCCATACAAAGGTTCATGAATATTCATTATGCAACTATTTGGATAGTTACACTTCACTCGAATAATCACAACTCTTCAATATACACCATTTGTATTTGAAAACTCGCGTCTAGTCACTACACCCAATGGAGACATGTCCCATTCACACATTTTACCTAAATCGCTTCCTATACAAAAAGGTTCTTGACTATTCATTATGCAACCGTTTCAATAGTCGCACCCAATCAAAAAGCTCACTATTCTTCAATATCCATCATTTGCATTTAAAAAGTCGCATCTGGTCACCTCACACATTGGAGACTTTTCCAAATTTTAATCGTTGACTAATTCGTAAATTTCAACAATTTCCCACATGGATGGAAGAAGTCGACTTAAAATAAGGAAGATGAAGAAGAGTACCATCTGATGGTTGGATTGTTTCAATGAAGGTATTAGACGATAAGTTGAGAAGGTGAAGTGGTTTAAGATCACCTATTGAAGCTGGTATCTTCCTTTTAAACTTACTGCTTGACATATCAATCGATGTGAAGACTCAAAATTCTGTTCATCTCCATCTGTATCCCTTTACTTGTAGTCAATGTTAGGCAGAAAAGCCATCTTCATTTATTAGAAAGAGTGAAGAGAGAAGCTTGGTAAAGATAATTTCCAATATCAAACAGTATAAGTTGTTGAAATTCTTGCTTGAATAGTCATCATATATAGGGACCGGATTGACACTGAAGTGAACGTAATTTAACCAAAATAGTTGCAATGGTGGGAGTATTAGTATTCTGCATGCAATTTGTTCTATACAAAATCAGAATCCCGAAATCAATTTACGATTTGCTTAAAAAGCTGCAATTTTTACCTAATATTCTGCAAGGAGATTTATTCTATGCATATCAAAGCTGAGAATAATCATGATCCTGAAAATAAGTTATTTATACTTTAAAAAAGCAGAATTTTGCATCAAATCTACTGTTATGCTACCATAAGATGAGAAATAATTTCATCTATGTAGCTGTCAGAACTTCCTCCTTCATCTATAGCCTCCTTAGCCAGCACTTTCCAACGAATGGCATTCTTTCTAATCTCTTGTCCTCTTTCTCCTTCCATAATTTCATTGATGCATCTCTTTATTTCGTCTCTTCGTGTAACACCCTTCTCGTCCGACTTAGGCATCGTTCCGACCTGCCAAACATACTCGACAAAATGTGCATTTGTCATCTGGTCAAGAATCTGAGGCATTGCTACCATAGGCACCCCAAGGCTTATTGCCTCCATAGTCGAATTCCAACCGCAGTGTGATATGAAACATCCAACTGCATGATGTGCCAGAACTTCCAATTGAGGGCACCATTTCACTACCAATCCTTTACCTGAGTTTTCGTCGTGAAAATTAGTCGGAAGTTTACTTTCTTCACTTGGCTGCACTACCCACAAGAAGCTATTGTTGCTCTGCTTAAGGGCCGCGGCTAATTCTACTGTTTGCTCTGTATTCAAATTTGCATTGCTCCCAAACGAGATGTAGACGACTGATCCGGTTTCCTTGGAGTCAAGCCATTTCATGCAGGTGTCCGTGTTCGGCTTATGCATGTTGAAACCATAGTCATCGTCGCCTTCCACCCGGTTGTCTAGATAAATAGAAGGCAAAGTTGGTCCAATGGTTCTCACAGGCCAGAGTTTTGACATCCAACTGACGACCTACATTCGACAAGGCTTATTCAAGTAAGTTACATGAATGTTTAAAAATATTGACATCATTAAATTTGTGCATAATCAAGTAAATTATGCTTACGTCCTCTTCCAACTTGTCGAAGGAGTTGAAAAGAACCCAATCTGCTTTTTCACTATTGTCAAATTGTTGTAATAAGTATCGGATTATTGGAGGATATCGTCCGGTATCAGGACCAAGTGAAGGCAGATTCGGAAGTCCAATCTCAGGTAATCCAGGCAGGGAGAAAGCAGGAACTGATGGAGTCACTTCCGATAATTCGCAGTGCATCGGATAGTAACTAGCAATCGCAGCACACGATTGAGTAAAAAAGGCAGCCCGATCAACTCCCATTTGGCTTGCCACGCTCGAAGCCCACGTTATGTTGGCATCGTAAACGAGACATTTCACAGGTCTTTCAGAGTCTCTGATGAGTTGAGTCAAGTTTCTTGTGCCACTGGCTTCAAATCTATCGAGAAATCCTCTAAATCCTCCTGGTCCCCCCACCCCTCCTTCAGCACAATCGTCATATATCGATTCGAACACGATTGAGCTCGATGCAGATTGGATAGCCTTGGTATTACTCAAAGTGGTTGCTACCGTAACATGGATTCCTTTAGCAGCCAGTCTTTTGGAAAATTGAATCATGGGGTTTATGTGACCTTGTCCATGATATGCAAGAACCACTACATGAACGTTGCCTTTCTCCATCTCTGAATTAAATCTTCTGCCTGAAAATTTTCCTGGAAAGCAATAACTTAGTTCGAAGGATGAAATTTCACGTGATTGAATATAGCTGAAATTTAAGTCAATGTGGGTGTTGGGCACCGAATTTCTTGTTGAATTCGAAATTCTTTTGGCATTCTTTTATATTGTAAATGTAATTGTTCCTTACAATGGTTAATAATCCACCAGAAACAGGACAAAAACCGAATAAACACAATTCTTCTTTTTGTGCGGATGCAAAATAAGCATCTACAGGGCCGGCTCAAGGCATCTGATTAATTTAAGTTTGGCAATTTTTTAATGGAAAATGATTATATTTTTTTTAAGTTTTTTGTTTTAAAGTCTTGCCTACTTGACTCTTATTAAAAATGACACTCATTTGTTTATCTATTTATATTTCCGTGCCAACTCAACTAGTTTGATCCAAAGATGGAAAATGCCAACGACCCGGGAGGTGACTTAATTAATTAAAGTTGGGCAATTTTTTAATGGAAAATGATTATGTTTTTATAAGTTTTTTTTTTGAAAGACAGGTTTACTTTGACTTTCATTTGTTTATCTATTTATATTCTCGCGCCAACTCAACTAGTTTGATCCAATAATGAAAAATGTCAAAGACCCGCGAGGGTGATCGTGCTTTCACATGCTTAGCGTAGGTTCTCCATGAATAAAATAACCTCGACCTTCATGTGTGTGTATTGTATCAGCCCCGTAGTCATCCTCACGAACAATGTAACACAGCTCTCCAATGATCGAACAAGGTATTTTTGAGATTAGTTCGTAGGTCAATGACAGAATTAAAAAGAGAGGGACAAGTGTTATTTTTTTGTTGAACAACTAGAAATAAATAAATAAATAAATAACGACCAGACAGGTCCCGTCACCAAACTCTGTTTTTGATCCCCGTTCGAATAGCTTTATTCATAAATCAGTAACTTTAGTTATATTATCCCTAACTCTACAAGTGGGAACGAACAGGCCACACTGGGTTTTCGTATTATTTAATCTGGTTCTACTGTGGATGACAAAATTTGTTTTACAAGCAAAAATATCTTCACTCGAAGAAATGCAGGAGATAATAGAGGTAATAACTAATATGAGACAGTAATCCTCCCTTCTAAACCATAATTCATTATCTTCACAGCTTAGACAAAAATCTTTGCGTTACATCACAGAGGCAATTCTCAAACATTATTTCGACGACAAAATTACAGAAACAAAATTAAGTTTATTACCATAGTCTAATCCTTAATCCTACATAAGAATCGCAAGCAAAACAAGAAAAGAGATGAACAGA